GAACTTAATGATACATCCTCACAGTCCTGTTCTCTCTGACCATTTTTAATAACCTTTGAGTTTACATTAGTTAACTTTATATTTACTGAGAGTAAATTTCATTATAGTAGATGTTTATTAGAGAATACTGTAGCTAAATTTAAAGAATCTCTTCTTTATTYTCCTCTGTCTTACAGAATAATGTAACAGAGAACAGTAACTGAGATGGTCCTGTTGATAATATTATAACTTTAATACAAACCTCTCTTGATGAAATTGCTCCACTAAAACAGAAAGTTATCGATCGGAGGAAGWCGACTCCTTGGTTTAATTCAGAGTTACGTTCTTTAAAACAGACATGTAGAAAACTAGAGAGAAAATGKCGCTCCACTAACAGAAGAATCTTATTTAACCTGGAGATACAGCCTACTAACATTTAAGAAAGTCCTTCGTAAAGCTAGAACTGTATTTTATTCATCTTTAATAGAAGAGAATAAAAACAATCCCAGGTTTCTGTTCAGTTCTGTAACTAGACTAATGAAAAGTCCTGTCTCTGTTCAACCATGTACCCCTGTAACTCTAAGTAGTGATGACTTCATTAGATTCTTTATAGACAAAATAATTTTAATAAGGAATAAATTTTTTACCAAGCTTCCTGCTACTGTGTCTGATTCTCTGTCAGATGAGGCAGCTTTAGTGTTGTTAGAACCTGACTTATGTTGGACAGTTTTTGTCCTGTTGAGCTCTGCATTATCTAAAATAATAGCTTCATCCAAACCATCAACATGTCTGTTAGATCCCATCCCAAGTCAATGGAAAGTCCCCACAAGTATAGAGAGACACAGTGTGTGTGTGTGTGTTAGTTGCCAGGCAACATGTTTATTCACAGTGTCACCTGATAGGTGGACTCACAGGAACTTGAGATCAGATCTACTTTCTAACGTCGGATCAGGTTCCAGTATTGATTATTGTTCCAAACTTGTTCTGTCTGATGTTTAAATCTTTAGTTTTTCTTTCTAAAGTCTTTTTCTTTATATGAACGTGTTAAAATTTGTTGTATCAAAAATATTCACATCACCTTTGTAAACTCACCTGATGTMTCTGTTGATTGTTTGAGACCCTCCAGTTTCTGACCAAGTGTTTTGTGATCATTTAAAGTTAGTTTGAGTCTAAGAACACGTGTCTGATGACCAGGAGAGGCTGAATTATTCATGAATGTGTGTCTCTCACTCTCTGCAGCAGCTCCAACAACACAAGAAGAACACAAGAGAAGAGACACGCACAAACAGAAGAGTGCAAATAAAAAAATAAGGACAAATTATACAAGACAAGAAAAACATGATGAGAAAATTAAAAAGTGTAAAAACCCTTAAAAAACAAACAGAAAACAACAGAAGCAGGAAAGAAGTGAAGACATGAAAGTGTAACAAGAGAAGAAGAAAACCCGAAGAACGAAGAGGAAGAAAAGGACAGGAGAGGACTGAAAAGATAAAAAGAACAAGAAAGAAGAAAAGGTGAAAACATCCAGGTGAGTCTGAGTAACAACCAATCAGAAAGCAGCTTATAGGATCCTTTACTTCATCAGGACATGTTGACAAAGAGTTTGTGAATTGTGTGTTCAGGACACAAGTTTTTATATTTCTGTTTGGTTCCAGCTCGTACCAGTCTGGATCCAGACCTGGATCCAGGTCTGGTCTGGTTGGGGTCTTAGGTCGTATTCAGACGTGATAATTTTCTCCGCTTTAAACGAACCAGAGTTTGTTTCCAGCGTTGGTCCGGACCTTTTCTGCAGGTGTGAATAAACTCATGAACTCTGGTGTGGATCAAACAACCGRACCCAGACCTAAACGAACTCTGGTCTCGGTCCGCTTCAGTTCTCTTCTGGTCTGAATCCAGACCGGACTCTAACCGAACCAACTGCATTAAACATGAGCCTTTTTGGACTTCACAGGCCACCATAGCTGAGCTAAATAAACTGAAACCAGACCTGATTCATCGTCTCCTGTTAGCAGCTCTGCTGCAGCATGTTGTGGGTCAGAACACAGAACATCTCGTCTCCTTTGGGTCGGGGGACACATTTACTGACGTCGCTCCAAAATTAGAACATCATCACAGAACCACCATTAAATCAGCTGTTTCTGACATTTTAAATGATATTACAGTTGTACTATCAGCATAATGTTCACATCAGAACCACAACAMGCAGGACTTCCTGTTTTCTTCTGGCTCTGTGGCTCAGCCCCGCCCCCGTCCTTTCTGTCCAATGGGATCAGTGATCGTCAGCCTCATGGCTTTGTTTACAACTTAGAGTTCGTTTGTAAAAAATCACAATGTGAATGCAAACTGCACCAAACAAAAAAATAAAGTCCATTTTTGGTCCGGACCAAACAAGTGGACCAAAGGACTTTCCTGGTCTGAATACAGCCTTAGTCTGATTCCAGTCTTATGTTGGTTTAGTCCCAGTGTGGCTCTGGTCTGGTGTGGTTTCTAAAGGATTGTTGTTGGTCCGCTCTGATCTGACACCGGTTCAGGTTTTGAATAAAGGGAAGTTAAAGTCTGAACACAGCTTTTTCTGATTCCAGCAGAAAAATGCCTCAGGATAAAAACGAACAGGAGGAGGAGGAGGWGACCCCTCAGCCCCCCGCTCCTCCTCCCTCCTCCGTTGCCATAGAAACGATGATGTCATCAAGGAGGCAGGACCTGGTGTGTATTGTGTGTTTTGGCAGCTATGATCTGGTGACACGGTTGCCTCGACGACTGCACTGTGGCCACGCCTTCTGCCAAGCATGCCTGAAACGACTGGACACAGTGATCAACGAGCAGGTGAGCGATGACATCATCACTCTGATTATGCCATGAGTGACTCAATCTAAGCTAATCCTCCTGTTCCTGCTCAGGTGTGGATCCCGTGTCCCCAGTGTCGACAGAATACGCCTCGGCCCAGAGGAGGAGCAGTGGGTCTGGACCTGGACTTGGCCTCTTTCCTTGGGGTGAAGGCTCAGCAGACCTGCAGCACCTCCTGCGGTCGCAGGGAGGGGGCGCCGGTTGGACATGCAGCCCAGAGTGGGAAGTCTTGGCTGAGTAAAGAGGTGGCAGATGATGGCTGGTCTCATGGAGGTCTAGCTGAGCCACGCTTTCATCGTTATAGCAACTGTTGCCCACCCTCGTCCTACTGGCTGTGCTGCTGGTTCTGCTGCCCGAGGCAGGACTAATGGAGCAGCATCAGAATGGTTCAGGGACAGCAGTGCATGTCTTTTAAGGGTCAGACCATGGTTCTCCATTCCACATGAACAATCTCAATCCCTGTGTGACCTGAAGGTTCCAACAGAATCACATCATCTACAAAAATCTGACATAAGACCTTGAGTTATCCAAACCAGACACCATACTCTCCACAATGGCACCTTCAGGTCCATGAATACTCCAAACAGAACCAGAGACGAGGTCCAACCTGCACATGTCCTCAGGGACAGGGACGGACCTAATGAGCTCCTTCAGCTTCATYACCTTTGTGGCCATTGCTCCATCAACTGGTTCTTTGGTCTCTGCATCTAAAAATACTTCAGACTGAATGGTCACAGTTCATGAAAGCCACACGTGAGAGGTCTCGATTATGATTCATAGGTTCTAAATAATGAT